AATAAGCTGTATTGCCTGACACTGTTTATGTCAATGGTTCTTAACCTGGGGGTGAGTCAGTAATTTCCAAGGGGACGCGGGCCTTTTGAACCAAATGGTAATATCTGTCATTATATTTGTTATTCTCTTAACGAGGGCATGGTCAAATAATGAGAAGTTTGATAATAATCAATTCATACCCACTAAAAAGACTAAGAACACATATCTAATTTTCTTTAAAATATGGGAGGGATTTTTATTCATAGATGCAAGGGGGCGTGGAGGCTCGGACAAATTCGCGGTAGTAAAAAAGGTTAAGAATCACTGGTTTATAAACTCATGTGAATACGAAAGACGATGAACCTTTCCTCAGGGGATGAGCGCGTGAACGAGCAGCCTGGACTGACCTCGATGCACACACTATGGCTGAGAGTCCACGACCGCCTCGCGAGACAACTGGCCGCCTTCAACCCACACTGGGACGACGAAACGATCTACCAGGTGAGATGCACAGTCACAGTCAAAGCTCTTGTCGAACATATTTTGAATTCCGTTTCAACATCCACTTAATACCATACTTTTTATATAGGATGAGACGGATTCGAAGCTTCAGTTCATGAAAAAAGAATTTTGACCGTCACTGTAACAAGCATGGAGTTCTGAAGCAACGGGATGGTGTTTGTGAAAAAGAGACAAATATAATAGTAGTATTCATGGTATGAAATCACGTAAGGAAACAGACCCATATCTCTCTCTCGATAGTGGTCGTCATATCACAAGCGTAAGTCAGTCCAGCCAAACATTTATCGCATAAAAAGTATTAAAAATGTTACATTATCCATGGGTCATTGACTCCATCCCTGCTAACCAAACCTAACCTAGCCTAACCTGAACCTGACCTAACCTAAGCAAGCCTAGCCAAGCCTAGCCTAGCCTAGCCTAGCCTAGCCTAACCTAAACCTAACCTAAACCTAACCTAAACCTAACCTAACCTACCTAACCTAACCTAACCAACCTAAACCTAAACCTAACCTAAAACCTAACCTAAACCTAACACTAACCTAAACCTAACTTAACCTAACCTAACCTAAACCTAAGCAAAACGCATAACCTAACCTAAGCCTAACCTAACAAACCTAACGCTAAACCTAACCTAACCTAACCTAAGCAAACCTAACCTAACCTAACCCAACCTAACCTAACTAAAACCTAACCTAACCTAACCTAACCTAACCTAACCTAACCTAAAACCAAAAACCTAAACCTAAAACCTAACCTAACCAACTAACCTAAAAACCTAACCTAACCTAACCAAAACCTAACCTAACCTAACCTAACCTAACCCTAACCTAAACCTAACCTAAACCTACCTAACCTAACCAACCTAAACGTAAGCTAAACCTAACCCTAACCTAACCTAACCTAACCTAACCTAAGCCTAAACTAACCTAACCTAAAACTAACCTAAACCTAAACCTAAACAAACCTAACTAACCTAACCTAACCTAACCTAACCTAACGCCTAACCTAACTAAGCAAACTAACCTACCCTAAACCTAACCTAAACCTACCAACTACCTACTAACAACTAACCTAACCTAACCTACAAACTCTACCAACCTAATTAACCTAAGCAAACCAAACTAACCTAACTAGCCAACCTAACCTAACCTAACCAAACCTAAGCAAACCTAACCTAACCTAACCTAACCTAACCAAACATAACCTAACCAAACCTAACCTAAGCCCTAAACCTAACCTAACCTAACCTAACCCCTAACCTAACCTAACCTAACCTAAACCTAACCTAACCTAACCTAACCTAACCCTAACCTAACCTAACCTAACCTAACCTAACTAACCTAACCTAACCTAACCAACCAACCTAACCTAACCTAAGCAAAACCAACATAACATAACATAACATAACCAAACAACCTAACCTAACCTAACAAACATAAAAACATAAACATAACATAACATAACATAACATAACATAACATAAAAATAACATAAGCAAACCTAACCTAACCTAAGCAAACCAAACATAACCTAACATAACATAACCTAACCTAACCTAACTAACCTAACCTAACCTAACCTAACCTAAACCTAACCTAACCTAACAAACCAAACCTAATCAAACCTAACCAAACCTAACCTAACCTAAGCAAACCTAACCTACCTAACTAAGCAAACCTAACCTAACTAACTAACCTAACCTACCAAACCTAAAACCAACCAAACCAAACCAAACCCAAACCTAACCAAACCTAACCAAACCTAGCCTAGCCTAACCTAACCTAATCAAACCTAACCTAACCTCAGCAAACCTAACCTAACCTCACCTAACCTAACCAAACCTAAGCTAACCTAAGCAAACCTAAGCTAACCTAAGCTAACCAAACTAACCTAACCTAACCAAACCTAACCTAACCTAACCTAACGTAACTAACCTAACCTAAACCTAACCTAACCTTAACCTAACCTAACCTAACCTAACCTAACCTAACCCAACCAAACCTAATGTAACCTAACCAAACCTAACATAACATAAACATAACATAACATATAGAAAAGGTCTGAATGAGACTGGATGTCTCATTCATACCTTTCTACATTTGTCAACATGGATACGTTTCATAACATAACATAACCAAACCAAACCTAACCTAACTAACCTAACCTAACCTAACCTAACCTAACCTAAAACCTAACCTAACCTAACCTACCTAACCCTAACCTAATCTAAACCAAACTAAGCTAACCTAACCAAACCAAACCAAACCTAACCTAACCTAACCTAACCTAACCTAACCTACCTAACCTAACCTAACCTAACCTAACCTAACCTAACCTAACCTAACTAACCTACCTAACCTAACCTAACCTAACCTAACCTTAACCTCACCTTCACCTCACCTGAAGCCAAACCTACCTAAACCCTAACCCTAACCTAACCTAACCTAACCTAACCTAACCTAACCTAACCTAACCTAACCTAACCAACCAAAACCTAACCTAACCTAAGCAAACCTAACCTAACTAACCTAACTAACCTAAAACCTAACCTAAACCTAACCTAACCTAACCTAAAACCTTAACCTACCTAAACCCAAAACCTAACCTAACCTAACCTAACCTAACCTAAACCAACCTAACCTAACCTAACCTAACCTAAACCTAAACAAACCTAACCTAACCTAACCTAACCAAACCTAACCTACCTAACCTAACCTAACCTAACCTAACTAACCCAACCCCAAACTAACCTAAACCTAACCTAACCTAACCTAACCTAACCTAACCAAACCTAACGTAACAAAACCTAACCTAACCTAACCTAACCAAACCTAACCTAACCTAACCAAACCTAACTTATCCTAACCTAACCTAAAACCTAAACTAAACCAAACCAAACCTAACCTAACCTAACCAAAACCTAACCTAACCTAACCTAACCTAACCTAAGCAAACCTAACCTACCCCTAACCTAACCTAACCTAACCCAACCTAACCTAAACCTAAGCAAACCTAACCTAACCTAACCAAAACCTAACCTAACCTAACCTAAGCAAACCTAACCTAACCTAACCTAAGCAAACCTAACCTAACCTAACCTAACCTTAACTAACTAACAAGGCAAACCTAACCCCTAACCTAACCTAACCTAACCTAACCTAACCTAAGCAAACCTAACCTAAACCTAACCTAACTAACCTAAACTAACCCTAACCTAACCTAACCTAACCTAAGCAAACCTAACCCAACCTAACCCTAACCTAAACCTAACCTAACCTAACCTAACCTAACCTAAACCTAACCTACCCTAACCTAAACCTAACCTAACCCTAACCCTAACAACCTAACCTAACCTAACCTAACCTACCTAACCTAACCTAAGCAAACCTAACCCAACCCAACCTAACCTAACCTAACCTAACCTAACCTAACCTAACCTAACCTAACCTAACCTAACCTACCTAACCTAACCTAACCTAACCTAACCAACCTAACCCAACCAACCCAACCCAACCCAAACCCAACAACCCAACCCAACCCAACCCAACCAACCCACCCAACCCAACCCCCAACCCAACCCAACCCAACCCAACCCAACCCAACCCAACCCAACCCCAACCCAACCCAACCCAACCCCCCCAACCCCAACCCAACCCAACCCAACCCAAACCCAACCCAACCCAACCAACCCCAACCCAACCTAACCTAACCCAACCTAACCCAACAGGAAACACGACGCGTGGTGTCAGCCCTGATACAGCAAATAACGTACAGAGAGTTCTTGCCGGTCATCCTCGGGGATTCCAGAATGCAAGAGTATGACCTGTGGCTTCGGCGGAGCGGGTATTCGGATTCTTATGACCCGGAAGTGGATGCCTCCATTGCAAACGTCTTCGCGACTGCAGCCTATAGGTAACATATCTGTGAATGCTTCTTTCGAAAACCCAATTTTCTTTTTCTTTCTCTTTTATTTTCTCTTTATATTTCTTTGTCTCTCTCATTTATTGTTTCTTCTCTTTCTCTCTCTTTTTGTTTCTCTTTCTCTTTCTCTCTCTCACTGTTTCTCTTCTTCTCTCCCTTTTATTGTTCTCCTTTTTCTTCTCTCTTTTGTCTTTTCTCTCCTCTTGTTTTTTTTCTCTTTCTCTCTCTCTTATTATTTCTCCTCCTCTTTCTCTCTTCTTGTATTTTCCTCTCTCTCTCGCTTATTGCTTCTCTTCCTCTTTCTCGCTCTCATTGTTTCTCATCCTCTTTCTGTTGCTCTTATTCTCTCTTTCTCTTTCTCTTTCTCTCTCTATCTATCTATCTATCTATTATCTCTCTTTTTTTATTTATTTTTCTGTTTTTCTGTCTCTTTTCTCTCTTTTTCTTTTCTCTCTCTCTTTCCTTTCTCTTCATGTCTCTTTTTTCTTCTTCCTCCTTTCTCTTCCTCTAACTCTCCTTTTTCTTCCTCCTCTCTCTGTCTTTTCTCCTTTGCCTCTCTCTTTCTCTTTCTCTCTCTCTCTCTCTCTCTCTCTCTCTCTCTCTCTCTCTCTCTCTCTCTCTCTTCTCTCTCTCTCTCTCTCTCTCTCTCTCTCTCTCTATATATATATATATATATATATATATATATATATATATATATATATATATATATATATATATATATATATATATATATATATCACTGTTATTTATTCATTTATACAACACTTATGGGTGTATGTATACATGCATAAATGTGTAGTTATACATATTTATACATGGTAGAAAAACCCGCAATGCACAAGCTAGATTTATCGAAAATGAGATAAAGGAAGTCCTGAGAGTGGCGAATGTGAGCAGGACAAACCAAGAAGGAGAGTAAGGACGAAATCCAGGGGGATCTCGAAACTGTTCTCTCATTTTCAATAAATCTAGTTTGTGCGTTCTATTAGGGTTTAACTACTATAGTATCTACACAGTATGGTGTTTTACCATTCATATACACACAGATATATGCATGTGTTTGAGATGCATGCATGCATATGAGAGAGAGAAAGAGGAAGAGACACAAGAGAGAAAGGAAAAGACAGTAAGAGATACAAAGCGGAGGAGAAACAATAAGAGAGAGAAAGAGGAAGAGAAACAAAAGAGAGAGAGAGAGAGGAAGAGAAAGAAACAATAAAGAGGAGGAGAAACAATAAGAGAGAAAGAGGAAGAGAAGCAATGAGAGAAAGAGGAAGAGAAACATATACATATGAGTGTTTTTCACAATCACGACACAAAGAATGCACCAACACACCCCAAACGCGGCAATGAACCGTTCCATTTCCCTCAGATTCGGCCACAGCCTCGTCAACGACATCCTTAAGAGCGCGAGCGACACCGTGCCTCTCCTGGGGAACTTCATGGACCCGCACCTTCTTCTCGAGAAGAGGACCACCACCTCGGCCTTGCTCGAGGGCCTGGCCACCTCACACGCCCAGGCCCTCGACTCGTACCTGGTGCCCACGCTCACCAACAAGCTCTTCGCCAGCCCGGACGAGCCGCTTGGCCTCGACCTCATGGCCTTGAACATCCAGGTGAGTGATTTATATAACAAGGTGGAAACTAATGGCCCTAAACATCCAGGAAAGAGATTCATACAATACAGGGTGGAAATTCTATGAAGGTATATATATATATATATATATATATATATATATATATATATATATATATATATAATTATATATATATATGTTGTGTGTGTGTGTTGTATTATATATACATATATGTATGTATGTATTCACATGATAAATATATATATATATATATATATATATATATATATATATATATATATATATATATATAAATATATATATATAATATATATATATATATATATATAATATATATATATATATGATATGTATATAAATACACATATCTACTTGTGTGTGTACATATTCCTGGGTGAATTGCCTCTTGGAAATTATACAAAGCTATTCCTTTACTTCATGTTTATTTGCAACATGATAGAGATCATTTATCTTAGTCGGACTGAATTATGTTTGATTAATGGTCCTCAGCGCGGGAGGGACCACGGTCTGCCGCCCTACAACGAATGGAGAAAAGCCTGCCGTCTGCCGCCAGTCACGAATTTCTACGAGCTGGCAACTGTCATGGCACCGGAAGTGGCAGATGGCTTCAGGAGCGTGTACCAGTTAGTGTCCAATGGGTGGTGGAAAGTTTTACTGTTTTTCTTGCAAATAGGACAAAGAAGGAAAGAACAGGAAAACACGTGAATATGTAAAAGGCCTTTTCGCTATATTGCTTCTTCAGGGCATGCACATTAGTGAAATGTCTTTGGCATAATCTTGTAGTTTCCTGTTCCTCCCTTCGTGGTTCTGTTTGCATTATATTCGACGTGAATCCCGGTTTCTCTTAAATATATTCCTTGGCATAAATAAAATCGCGTTCTATATTATTACCTCTTGATACGGAAGGAAATAAATCAATCAAATATATGTATGTCACTTTAGATGAATAGTTTAATAGAGAATTCATTTCAAGGTTTGTTTTTGTAGGAATGTCAGTGAAATCGACGTGTTCCCCGCTGGCCTGGCGGAACATGCGGTCCCGGGCGGTCTCCTCGGACCCACCTTCTCCTGCATCATCGGACAGCAGTTTGCCAGCCTCAAGAAGGGGGACAGGTTCTGGTATGAGAATCTGCAACAGCCCAAGCCTTTTACTGCAGGTGGGTTATCATTTGAGGTAATAGGTAAAAAATAATAATAAAATAAAAAATAAATAAATATATATATTATATATATTATATATATATATATATATATGTATGTATGTATGTATGTATGTATATGTATACATGTATGTATACATGTATATTCGGATATATAAATTTATATATGTATATGTATGTGTATGTATGCATGTGTATGTGTAGGCCTACATATGTATGTTTAAACGTTTATGTATGCATGTATATGTGTAAATGTATGTGTATATGCGTGTGTGTATGCATGCACATGTATATGTGTGTATATGTGTATCGTATATGTGTATATGCATATATGTATACATATGTATATGTGTATATGCATATATGTATATGTGTATATGCATATATGTATATGTGTATATGCATATATGTATATGTATATGCATATATGTATATGTATATGCATATATGTATATGTGTATATGCATATATGTATATGCGTATATGTATATGTATATGTGTATATGCATATATGTATGTATATGTATATGCATATATGTATGTGTATATGCATATATGTATATGTGTATATGCATATATGTATATGTGTATATGCATATATGTATATGTGTATATGCATATATGTATATGTGTATATGTGTATATATGCATATGTATGTGTATATGCATATATGTATATATATGTATATGTATATGTCATATATGTATATGTATATGTAAATGATGTATGTATATGTATATGCATATGTGTATATGTATATATGCATGTTTATGAATATGCGTATGCGTACATGTATGTGTATGTGTATATGCATATGTCTTTGTATATATATATGCGTATAAGCGCATGCGGTGTGTGTGTGTGTGTGTGTATGTTTCAAGTCTTTTAATTATGTATATACGCATGTATGCACATACATATGTATGCGTATGCGGGTGTGTATGCGTATATATGCATATACGTGTGTTTGTATGCGTTTGTGTGTCCGTGAGTTTTATTTCTTTTCTTTTTTCTCTCTTCGGCGCTTTAATCGGATCAAACTGAAACTTGCCTTGCAGAGCAACTCGCTTCTCTACGCAAGCTGGGTCTGGCAGCGTTGGTGTGCGAGCATACATCGGTGGAGTACCTTCAACCCAACCCCTTCCTCTCCACCGACACTACGGGGTCAGTCCTGCTAAGATTTGTTTGTGCAGATAACAAAAAGATTAATAGCTGAATTTCAGTCTTCAATCGTGTAATAATGCTTCTTATTCTGTCAGTTCCGATAACTCAATCAGCAACACCATTGTTTGTTTATTTTTCAGGAATACGCCACGGCGGTGCGCCACTTATCCGACACTGAATGCTAGACTCTGGAAGGAGGAAAAGAAAGAACCAGAGTAAGTATTTTGATTTGTTTATCGTCAGAGTAAGTAAGAGAGGTGACCTTGAAAGGAAATTGCAAAGGGTTTTTGAATGCTAAAATCATTTGAGTCCGTGTGCTGAACATGAAATATAAACTAAGCTGAATATCACACTTTTTGTATAGGATAAGACAGATTCGAAGCTTCAGTTCATTAAAAGACTTTTATCCAGAAAGGGATGCTGAAGCTAAACCGTCTTCGATATACATACGCCAATTCGAGCAGATACATCACATCTAACACCTAATTAATAGTATCCCACATATACAAACTGACGACTAAACCGCCCATTTTCTCAACAGACCCGCGTCCGTGTGCAGGGGAGTGGGTGTGTGGAAGATACTCCCAGGCATAGACAAGTGGTGTACCCTCAACTGCCTGCAACACAGTGTTTCGTTCTGCCCGTCTTCACATTGTTATTGTTACTGAACACTAAGCATCGCCATCGCCTCTATACGGTGATGGTAGTGTTTCCGTGCCTTGGGCATTTCGAAACCAAATACCGTTGCTTGAACTCGAAATGTTTTAAACTGACGGGGTCTTTCAGTTGGGCATTAACTAATGGCTATGAAGTAATTTCATATACTTTTTTATGTTATTCCTGTATAATACCATGTCTGTGGTATCATTAGCTCATATGGTATTAGGTAATGGAACCGTCTGACAATATCAAGACACAATATTTTAATGTGACCGTGCCATACCTATGAAACTTTTTGTGTATGGTATGTGCAGAGGACTGTCTGGAGAAAAAAAATCTCAAATATTAGAATATCTAATACCAGTATGGAGTACCGTAAGAAAAATCATGAAGTATTAATATGTGTATTACAATATTATGTAATACAGGGATCATAAAGTAACTGTTGACATAATATATCAGTGCATGAATAGCCTTTTCTCATAGTTTTTATGCACAGAACTTTTTTTCTACGATCCCATTTTTGTCTAGGATAAGACTTTTCGAATATTAGGTTTATTGTGTGCCAATATTTGTGACAAACTATTTATATAATACAGTTTTTAACACATATGTTGTTTGTGTCTATGATCCTTTTCGCTGCAGAATTTTTGCATTAGCTTATACGAATTATTATTGCATATCAAAATATGCTTTGCTTGTTTTCATAATTTTGGAATACAGTAACTCCAACTTTTATTCTTAATGTGAATAACTGCAGTAGCTGTATGTCGTAGATGATCTTTCGATTTTTATTAACTTTTCATTGATTTGATAAAATGTTGATCTAATAAATTGTCGTAACTTTTGACCAAGAAACTAGTTCATTAGGATTGACTTGTTCGTTAAAGTACAGTAATTATGAATAAACTTGTACGGGAAGCTCGCGAATATGCAACTAATCAATGTTTTCTTGTGCAGTATTTCGTTTGTTTTGTATCAAACGAGTAACGGCACCGTATAAAAACAGATTTGAAATTTGACCGAGGACATTTAATCCAATCTCTCCAGTTCAAAAGCTTCCTTAATTTACCCTCAACTACTTATCGAATCTATATCAAATTAATCTACCTTAACCAACCTTTTTATATAGCCCATAAGTCAACTTTTTTACCATTCTTTATTACAAATTTCCTCTTACTCCACTTTTAATCTACTCGCTTACCCGGGTTCGACAAACAAAGCTACAGACATATCCGCTCGGACCTGTAAGTGAGTTGTAAAAGCGAGATGCAAAACGTGTGGCTTTGACTGCATCATGGAACAGACACTGCTTTGCGTCCGCACCGTGAACCGGATCAGTCGGATTCGAGACTCGGTTTGAATCATTTTATCACGCCATGGCCTCTCCAGTCGTTTCTCTACTGTTATCGTCAATCTTGTTTCTTCCTATTCATTTATTTATTGAAAAGTTTCTGTCGCATCAACATGTCATTAGCGGCATATGCAAAATATAGGAATTAGGGTGTGGCTTGGGGAGCGAAACCCCAAGTAAGGAAAGGTCAAACAATATGACAAAGTATTGTGGCAAAAAAGGTACGTAAATTAACAAAGAATTGTTACAATGTCCGCACTGTCAGAAGGTTGTCTTCAGGCCTGGCAGAGCCAGTCTTTCATCCTTTCAGTACGGCTTCTACGCTTCAGGGCGTGGATATAAGAAGGGGATGAAGAGAAAGAAAAGAGACGAAAAGTCTATGCAAAATTAACTGAGGCGTATAGGTGATCCCCTATATTAGCCCTCAGTGCTCGTCTCCCAAGTTCCCCCACGACAATATGCCTACCTACGATTTGGTAACAATGGTAAATGGCCCCTCCTTTGAACAGGAAGCAGCTGGTTCCTGGCCCATGGGAACATTGTCAGGAAAATTTCATCTCAGTCCTGTCGCCAACTTTGAGGTCGGTAACGGAATTTCACCCTTCGATGTATATAAAAATTAAATAATATAAAGGTCGGTCATTTTACACAGACTAACAGTGTTGCCGATTGTTTATAGTAACCTATTATTTACACATTGGATAACAGTAGTGAAGCAGTGTAATATCTAAGAAAATTAACGTAAATTTGTTTTCTTTCTGCAAGGTGTCAGTCACCATGTTTCATCTGAAGTAGTCCGAACAACCAAGCCAAAAGATATGCATTTGTTTGGTTGGTTTGGTTGTTGTTCGGTGAACTTTTTCGCTCTCGGCCGCAGGAAAAACAGTTAAGTGGCCAAGCTGGGATTTGTGTCAGTTCACCAGACAGTGCCCGGTAGTGTTAACTTCATACCTAGGCACTAAATATGGATCATAGAGGATTTATTATGTTTTTGGGATTTGAATAAATTTATCGCCGAACGTCATACGAAAACAAGAACGGACAAGTCGTAGCGATAACACATTTCGTGTGGAACAGGCTTAACATCATTAATATCAAATGCCGACACATATCAAGATAAAAATAACGTGTCCATACGTGTTTAGCTATCGACAGAAAAATTGGGCGGAAGAGGGGGCAACATCTCCCACCTTTCAGTGTAGCTATCATGCGTTCTTACTTCGAGTCACATATACATATTATTTTTAAGAAACTAACTGTTAAGAACAGTGTTACTAGGGATTACTAGTGTACATTTCTAGTACTGCAAATGAAGCTCCAGATTTCGATTATTTTGTACAGAAACTTAATGATACATAATTGTTGCCAAGTTGTGAAGCGTGGTATCTCGTAGTGTCGATAGGCCGCCATCTTTTTTATTTCACCACGCATGCGCAGGACACCAATCGGGGGCCCGGCTACCGTACCATTAATCATTTCAAATAAAGAAAATGCATTTAAATGCAAATAATCTATACAAGGCTCATAAAAAAAAACATCAGTAATTAGCAAAGCGGAGTTCGGATTCATAAATACGATTACTGTTACATAATTCGTAAGTGTTCAAGTGACCCGAATTTCTTTATCATTTAGAATTTTCTGTCATCTTGCTGGTCATACATTATTCTTAAATTAAAACAGGGAAGTCTCTAAATAATAGCGCAGTTTGCATTACTTGAAAAGAATAGCACGACTACAGTAGGTGAAATGGAAAAAATTGCCTTTAAGGGTATGCATTTTTACACAACGCTAGCAGTACACCTCAAGACATCGTCTCTCATTAATAATCAAAAGGAATTTTTGTTTGCAATCACAGTTGTTAAATTCAGAGCAATATTTTTTTAAAGATTATTTCTCTGAATGTAATCTATTCACCTAACCTTCAAATCAAGCTTTATTCTTTATTTATTCGTAGTCCGAAAAAATAGGTTACATAAAATAAAGACCGTTTGAGACCCAACTTTATTCTGCAGTGCAGACATAAAATTAAATATAAAACTGCACAGTACCTCATAACAAGCATGTCATTAGAGATAAGTCCATATATTTATAAAATATAGTAATTATCTATCTTTTAGAATTTTAAATAAACTACAACTCAAGTCTAAACACATTACCTTTTATTTAAAGTTTGATTTTTGCTTATGAGTTTTGAAGAGAAAGAATGAGATTGCTTTTTTAATCATCTTGACAAAAAGAAATTTAAGCTGGCACAAAAGAGTGTTAGGTATCTTTTCATGACTAGGTGGCAATTGGCATGATATCACTTAATGTGTATAATACTGTCTATATATTCGTATATATATCAACATTACTTTTATGCCTAATAATTTTGATAATGGATATTGGATTACAATCTTCACTTTACCACAAGCAATATCAAAAATGTACACATTATGAGGAGGACTAAGAATGCAAGAGAAAGATCATCCAACACTGACTGTAGATCTCCCTTCAGAAGGAGAATACTCAAAGCACTGGTTCATACCCAACGAACTGTATCTTTCTATCACATATTGTATCCCACAGGCAAACTCTATACAACCAGAAGACTTGACCAACCTGGCAGAATCCGGTTTACTTAGCTTCTTCTCTGGTAATATCTGTATCTCGTGGCTCGTGGGGAGCAGGCAACTTCTCCCAAGAGGGCTCAACCCCCCAAATTTCTCGGCCGTACTGTGCAATGGTTCTGTCACTAGAGAACTTGCCGGAGGAGGCAATGTTCATGATCGCCTTGCTGGTCCAATCATTTGGATTCTGGTACAGCTTGTTGACAGAATCTTGGCATTTGATGTAAGATTCGAAGTCAGCGAACAGGAAGAAGCGATCATGATACATGAGGATGTTGACCAAGTCCTTGAATTGGTCAGGATTGCTTGGGGAGAAGAATCCACTGCTGATCTGATCAATGCACTGGCGCAGCTCTGGGAGGCGATTGTAATAATCATGAGCATTGTAACCACGGCGCTTGAGCTCTTCTACTTCCTCAACAGTCATGCCAAAGATGAAGATGTTCTCCTTGCCCATCTCTTCCATCATCTCAATATTTGCACCATCAAGAGTGCCAATTGTAAGTGCACCATTAAGCATGAACTTCATGTTGCCAGTACCAGAAGCTTCAGTTCCAGCTGTGGAGATCTGTTCTGAGAGATCAGCAGCTGGGATGATTTGTTCAGCTAGTGTAACTCGGTAGTTCTCCAGATACACAACCTTCAGTTTATCTCCAACAATAGGGTCATTATTCACTACACGACCTACAGCACAAATGAGACGGATGATCTGCTTAGCTGTGTGGTAGCCAGGGGCAGCTTTACCACCAATCATAACTGTGCGAGGTACAAATGGAGCTCCTGGGTTAGCCTTGATGCGGTTGTACATAGTAATAATGTGCAGACAGTTAAGCAACTGACGCTTATACTCATGAATACGCTTAACCTGAATATCAAACATGGAGGAGGGATTCACCTTAACACCATAATCCTGCTCAAGCTGTTTAGCAAGACGCATTTTGTTCTCTTGCTTTGCTGTTTGTACAGCACGGATGAAACCAGCATCCTTAGCAAGAGGCTTCAGCTTAGTAAGCTGATCAAGATGCACTACCCATTCTTCTCCAATCTTCTCTGCAATGACATCAGCAAGAGCTGGATTGCATAGCAAGAGCCAACGGCGAGGAGTAATACCATTGGTCTTGTTCTGGAATTTCTCAGGGTTCATTTCCGCGAAGTCTTTGAAGATGTCTCGCTTGATGATCTCGGAGTGAATGGCAGCCACACCGTTCACAGCATGAGAGCCCACAATGCAGAGATGAGCCATGTTGATTCTCTTTTCACCACACTCTTCCACCAGAGACATGCGCCTCACACGATCCATATCTCCAGGCCACCTGTCAGACAACCAATTATGAGCATATATAAAGTAGTTCAACTGCAAACATATCTTCTTACACTTCAAATTTAAGGATACCTCCTCTATTGTTTGTGTTTCTCCATTGCAAATCATTAACTAAAATTTAGTTTGAAATTTTGGCTCATAAAAATTGTCAAAATTCTTCTATTGAAGATCTTACCTCTTTGAGACCTCCTGCAGATGGAAATGGTTGATCTCGTAGATAATCTGGAGATGCCTTGGGAGAATGTGTTCCAGCATGCTAGTTGGCCAGCGCTCCAGAGCTTCCGGCAACACTGTGTGATTGGTGTATGCACAGGTCTTCACACAAATACCCCATGCCTTAGCCCATGAGAGACCTTCAATGTCAACCAAGATACGCATCAGTTCAGGAATGGCCAGGGAAGGATGAGTGTCATTCAGCTGGAGTGCTACCTGTAATAGGAACATACCACAACTTAAATTCTTATAACCAATTACTTGATTCCATCTTAATTAATGGTTGTGCTGTTCTTGAATTTAGGAGGTTCAACATAAAATATACTCCATGCACAACATATGCATATCTTTATATGGGAATGAACTTTGTGCTTTGCTTATTTCTATGTCACAGATATTATAAGTATTAAAGAAATCTAATACAGTTTAGCTAAATGAAGTTTTGGATGTCATTCATAACAAAAGTAAATTAGAAGAATCCATGCCTACATATTCCAAAGGCTAATTATAGATCAAGGCCCGGTCACATGATTGCAATATTCATGCAAAAAATTAAGAAAGCATTCAAAATTCTTCACGTTGAAATAAAAGTAAGAACCATACAACTACAAAGAGCAATCAGTTCTCAGGCAGCAAGTGCTATTTTTGCTCTATCTTTCATAATATCAAAGTATGTAACAGTGACTCTGGCCTTTCAAGTATTTATCGAGCCCAGTAAATATGAGGCAGCCTCAAAGAACAAAACTTTGACATCAAGTTTACTGTAGTTTTTATCTAGTACCATTCACAAAGGGCTATTATGCTTGCAACAGAGGATGATTCTAAGTCAGGAGCCCAACATCTTTTTCAAAATGTTATCATTCCGAAGTACATAAACATCTTTAACTGAATGCTGAAAAATTCCTCACAGAGCAAGAGGATGTACATCTCTCAAAATAACTGTAAACACAAACAAAATCACTTACTTAAAAAAATGTAACATTGAAATAATTATCTTTAGCCACTGTCACAAAAAAAATATATACTTTTAAATCAGCTTTACTTACCTTCTCAGGGAATGTGTCGAAATCCGTGCG